GTCTAAGTTAATTTCAATGTATCTGTGGATTCCTCCCTAAAATGTCCCCACAAATTAAAATTCATAAGGATGTGTAATACCTTAATTGATAATTTTTAATTATTAAGTTTAGATTAACTTTAGATATCTGTGGATTTTGGACATGCTTAATTACCATTCATACTTCTTTCTACTTTTACATTTGGTGTTTCTGCACTATCATTTTGCCCTAGGCTGTACCAACATATTGTATGTCATTAAATCATTTGGGGTAACTGAACTTAGCTCTGTGGCAACAGGTCTTCACTCCTCAATTTATTCTCAACTGTGAATAAGTCAAAAAGGGTGGGAAAGTTTTACTTTCCCCTTCACTCAACTTTGGGAATGGAAACACACAAATTCTTCCCACATTTTGAAAACCCTGTTCTTTTCCCTTTTCAAGTGTTGTTGAAATTTCCTACCCTCTCCTGACTACCATTTATTCTTTCTATTTTTTTTACTATGTGTACTTACTGCCTTTCTCAGTCTTCACTTCCCCTTCTTCTGTGGTTTTCCTTATTTCAGATTTACCTGTGAGAGAAGCATGTGTCAAATGCAACTCACAATGCAATTCCTTTAGCAATACATTCAATTCAAGCTGTGGCTGAAAAGTAACGAAATATACCACTTTCTTATATTTATTTAACCCTACTATTTATTTTAATAGACATATTCCTTGAACAAGTACTGTATACCAGTGCTCATATTTTTTGGCCATGCCCTTTCCAATGTATTTTGTATTCTATATGGTTCTTACCTTGTCCATGTCCATGTATTGTCTTTGTGCTTGGTTCAAATGTCCTGGACCCACAAGCAGCACACACCTTTTGATGTTTCTCAGAATCACTCTGGTAAAAATAATAACAATAATAAGTTTCATATAGCTTTCTGCATCCCTCTCTGACCATCATTATATTTATAGTAGGAAGACATTGCAATTGCAGATTACACCATTACATTTTCTACAACAATATTTCCATATGAGACACAATTTCACATGCTGTCCTGATGAAGCTTAGCTCCTCTCTTCATCTGGCTACTGATGGGGAACATAAGGAAGAATGAAAGAGTAAATGTGTTCTCTTACACCAAACCCACTGATATGCATATATCCCAAACAACTAACATCAGTGCTTAATTAGTAAGCTCTGCATTCTTACTCAAATCTAAAAACAGAGTAGAAAATTTATTTAAAATGCTTTTGTGAATTAGATTTCATGTTTTACAGATTCAATTGTTTCTAACAATGAAGGGCCAATTGTTTTATTGATTTATTTGATACTTGTTATGATAAGATCCTTCCAATGGGTCCCCTCCAGTAGAAAGAAAATACTCTTGGACTTGTTTCATTTGAGTTTCCAGAGACTTCCAAATATTTGCCTCACTGAGCAAAATATTTAGATAGTCAAAATTCCACTTTAAAAGAAGAGAGAGGGGCTGGGATTGTGGCTCAAGCGGTAGTGTGCTCGCCTGGCATGCGTGCAGCCCAGGTTCGATCCTCAGCACCACATACAGACGAAGATGTTGTGTCCGCCCAAAATTGAAAAATAAATATTGAAATTATCTCTCTCTCTCTCTCTCTCAAAAAAGAAGAGAGAGTCAATAAGAGAATGTGTCT